TAATTAGACCGGGGTTACCGGTGGTCCTCTCGGAAAACACAAACGGATTGAACTTTTGACCACAAATACGGTTTAGGAACCCTTAAACTATTGGGTGTGGACTACCAGGTTGATGTCAAATATTGTCACCTCATATTTTCTCAAATTTTAACATGTTATAACATGCAATGTGTTCCATATTATAACATGGTGTTAAGATGAGAGATAAAAGAGAGAAAAAGAAAAGGAAATAATCTGATTGAGTGTTGCCTCTCGTGCTCGTTACCACACTTCATAACGCCACATCCCATAACTAGAGGCGGAGGCGGTATTCCCCCCGTGATAACGCCGTTAAGACTGTGCCACGTAGACAATAACGAGCCTTAACGGCTTCATACCGAGCAGTTTTAGGAAACCTGACTTTTTCCCTCTCTTTATAAACTCTCTTTGCATTTCACATGTTATATATATATATATATATATATATATATATATATATATATATATATATATATATATATATATATATATATATAAAACGAGAGGGAAGAAGCCAAGGTTTCCTACGGGTTCCTCAACCCGCATTTGAGGTCGAAAGTTCAATCCGTTCGTGTTTTCCGACAGTACCACCGATGATGCCGCTATATATATATATATATATATATATATATATATATATATATATATATATATATATGTATGTATGTATGTATGTATGTGAGAGTGAGAAATATGCAAAAGAACAAAAATAATCGAATGTTGAAATAGAAATGAGCCCTTTATTTTATGCGACGTTTGTTATGCTAATAAACATTATTTTTATGTAAGATCAACGACTTAATGTTGCATTTTGGCAATTAAAAATAAAAATAATAAAAAGTTAGTGCAAGACAATAAGATAAAGGCTTTCACATTGGTGAGACGTATCTTGTGATTAAAAAAACCAACTATGATCCAGTTAACTTTATTAAAGTTAAAATCCCTAATATTAAAGGATGTAAAATCAAATTCAACATAAAATGTATTGAATCAAAACTATGATATAGAGATAAGTCAAAAATAACTTATCTTTCAGAATCACTTTGAGTTGTCTAGTGAAATCACATCAAAAGCTTTAAAATTAATTCTTGAAAAAAAAGAAAAAGAAAAAATCCTTTCAAACTTGTTTTTGGGAAACATGATGAATGTATCATGTTCTCCGTCACCATGAGAGGCACAATTGGTGGGAGTTATTAGTTTATACAAAGCCATGTAAGAATTCTTATTGGCAACTAGAAAGATGATCAAATGGAAAATTGACACATCATGAGCAACGTGTGGAGCCCATTCAACAAAAGAGATTTTGACACGATTATTGTATATATATTAAAAACTTAAAAGGGTTGAAATCAACCTAGTATTGGCGATACTTTTGATTATGGGAAGAGGAGTTGTTCCCATGTACCATGTTCTAAAGATACGTGAAGTTCACTCTTCTCTATCTCCATCATCATCTTTCGATAATCCTAGGTTCTTGTTTTAGCTTTTGAATGACACCTGTCAAGTTTCTATTCACTTATGGCCGACATCGGCATCTTATGCTCCCATATAAACTACAATTATGTCCTCAAAATAGCATTAAGAGTATTGTGTGTGGGCAACAAAGTGCATTATCAAGTTGTGCCACCTCACATGCCATATAAGTTAATGGTGTTATGACACAAAGTGAAGAAATAAGCAACAAGATGTAACACTAACTTTTTGAAAATAAATATTTTTTTTTTCTATTTTTTTTTTTTTACTTTTTTATTTTTTTGCTTTCGTTTTTTTTTTCTTTTTGTTTTTTTTAATAACTAATATATTTATTATAAAACATATAATTTTAAAAACAAAAAAAAAGACATAATATTTAAAATCTAAAGTTCCGATTACAATTAAAAAAACATAATTTTAAACATAAATTAATAACTAAAATACAATTCAAATTACTACTAAAACCACACTAATCCTAATTAACACAAATATTTTTTTCTAATTTGTTCCTTCATCGCTTGTACCACCGCTAGAACAGCAGACGCTAAACCCTCCTCGCTTGTCCGAAGAATTGACAACTGATGTGTCATTAATTCTCTTTCTTTTTGTTCCTGCTTCTCCCGTGCTTGCCTTTCCAGGAACTCCAAATGACGACGTTTAAACTCATTTTTTCCTTTATTAATAAATTGTGTTCGTCGAATTTGGCTCTCATTTACGCCGCATCTTTTGCTCTCGTCTCCACCTCCTTCGCATGCCTTGCAGCACGCCTCGCTATGTTGCGTCCTGGCGGTCGTCGTGGTGGGGATATCTCTTGGATGTCATCTGGGATCTCATCGTCATCGGTGTTTAGGTCGATGTTAGTCCGTGCGTCCGACACGTCGACCGAGCTAGAATTGCGAGACCGTTTGGATTGAACCTCCAACGATGTAGGCGTTTTATTCCACTTTGGATCCGCTCGCAACAATTCCCATGATTTTTCAAAGTCGAAAACATGATCCATTTCGACCCGATATTGTTCCTTAGCCGATTTGAACAAATCGAAGTCGTTGGTTCCGCTTTGTTGTTGCGCCTCAAGCCGGTTGTAAATACCGTTGAATTTGCTGCACCGCTTAGTTATCATGCCCCATTTGCTGCTCAACATGTCGTTGTTGCGATACATGTTTTTCTTTAAAATAGCGTGAAACTTGTCGAGCAGCGCCCCCCAATAAGCTCATTTTTTCATTCCATTTCCGCGAAGTTCGTCCTTTGAAGTAGCATATCAAGCCGCCGTCAAAGCGTATTCCTCCTCTGGTGTCCACCATTGTGGAACGTCTGCATTTTCAGATTCCACCGCTATTAATTTCCCTTTTGATTTTCTTTTCCCTTTCCCTTTCTTACTACTTCCCGCTTCCACTTGAATTGATTGTTGTGTTGTAGGCGACGGTTGATTGGATGTTTGTTGCATCGAACCAAAAGTAGAGAAAAGATTTTGTTGTAAATTTGGGTTTTGACCAAATTGATTTTGTTGAACGTAAGCTGAGTTGAGAAATTGCAGTGGCGGTGAAGCGAAAATGAAAGCGGCACCTTGGTATGGTATTTGTGCTGAGCCTTGAGACGACAAAATTTTAAATAATTTTCATACCCCGCAAATCCGAGAGGCGAGGTTGTGTTTGAGTTTGATGATGGAGAGAGGGGGGTGTTTGGGTTTTGCTCCATTTTTTGATTAACAAAGTGTAGAAAATATAGAGAGGATTTTAAAAAGATATGTAAAGTTTAAATTAAAAAGAGTATATATATATATATATATATATATATATATATATATATATATATATATATATATATATATATATATATATAGGTGAAAAGATTAAAAAGTTTTTTTAAATGAATTTCGACCGTTTGCAAACGGTAAAAATAATGTCCGTTTCAATTCATCATAACGCCCACGAGAACTCCTCGACGAGATGCAACGAGTTGGGGGGGGGGGGGGGGTGTTCCCCCGTCACGATGGCGTTGTCGTCTGCCACGTCATCGCGTTGATTCTCGTTTCTGGCACATGCCGACTACTCTAAAATAAATGGTTACCGTTTTACACAAAAAAACATTTTTTTATATATAAAAAACTTTAATATTATGAAAATATTCAAAGTTTTCAAAGAATATGAAAGTTAATTCATCCATAACAAATTTTCTTAATACACAATATATATTATACAACTTTATTAAACATAAAATATTGTTAATAGAAAAAAATTGGTGGTTACAAATCATTTCTTTTTTAATATATTTTGGTTTGTGTTATTGGTTCGAAGATCAACAAAATAATAAAAAGTTGTTTTTCTACTTTGATGAGATTTGAATTCACGCCTTAGGTCGTAAAAATCATGGTTTAACCATTTTTGCTGCAACTTATTTTGTTTACAATTTTCTTAAAATATTTATATTAGTCAAATTTGAGAATTAAAAGCCATCTCCCAATCGAATTCCAAGTTCCCACAAGGACTTAGTTTGCGTTTGGCAACTAGAAAACAAAACATAGGGTGCATCTATCCGTTTTGGTCACCACGTTCATCTCAAAGAAAGCTGACCTATGAGAAGAGGCCAGTTAAAAATGTTCACTTTTCACATGACATATTTATATGTCTAGTTTAAACATTAACATTCAAAGCATAAATTGTTCATTAATACTTTTGCTAGTAAACACACCATCATTGGAAACCTCCTAACTCTATTTGTCCACATCAAAACTCATATGGAAATCAGTACTCTATATTTTTCAGTTACCGATTTTGGTGTCCTGAAGTCTCTTTTGTGTTGGTAATAATAAGGGTGAGCATACAAAATGAAAAACGAAATTGAATTTACTAATATAACTGATTCATTATAATTGAACCATTATTGAGAATGTGGTGCAGTTTTTGATTTCCAATAACCGAGCGTAACCGGCTCGGTTTCAGTTTAATTATAAAACCACCTCACACACAACCTAACCGGACTACTATATGTAATGAATACATAAAAAAATTTAAAAATATGTATATGTACACAAGGTTATTATTTTAATTAAATAAGAAATTGAAGTTGAAGAGAATATAAGATGCTAAAAAGTTAGAAGTTATCACTATAATATTTAACAAATTGCAATGAACTTTCACTTTTGTGCTTTTTATAACAACATACTATTTGATTTTCACTTTTATAGCAATGATTTTTGTTTTGTTTTGTTTTTCATTTTTAATTGCAATATTCATTAATGTTTATCTAATTTGGACCATTATGATTAATCAATATTGAAAACTATTAATCAAAACCAACAAATCAATAACCAATGGCTATCGAAATATACTAATCGGTTGTAAAGTCTATAACCAAATCAAATCAAATAATCTCGTAAATACCCCCTAACAATAAAGACAAACGATGTGTATCCAAACAACCCTACATAATGAAAACAAATAGATAAGTGATAAACTTTTTTGTAAAATAGAACAAATTACACTACTACAACACCAAAAATAAAACCATCTCATAGACCACAGTGGTAGGTACATTATCAACTATCAAGTGGAAGAAAAAAAAAAGCACCGATGTCATGTCCACATTCAGTCGGCAAAAAAGATAAATTTTGATTTAATTTTACATTAGTATAATCACGTCATTAAGTGGGTAATATATACTACAAGAAAGTGAAGAAGACAAAATTCAACAGAAAATCAAAATGGGAAGGGGGAAAGTCGAGCTAAAGAGAATAGAGAATCCAACAAATAGGCAAGTCACCTTCTCCAAGAGAAGAGATGGTTTGCTCAAAAAAGCCATTGAACTCTCCATTCTTTGTGATGCTGAGGTTGCTCTTCTTGTCTTCTCTCCTTCCGGCAAAGCTTATCACTTCTCCAGCCATGAGTATACTCTCTCTCTCTCTCTCTCTCTCTCTCTATGTATGTATGTATGTGTGTATGGTGATTGATGGTATGTTGCAGCATGGATATGACTATCAGGAGGTACAGAAACGAAAAGGGTCTGCATAAAATGAACAACCATGGAGTAAGAACAATCGAGGTATTCAAGAAGATGATCGCATGTAGGTTAAAAATGATATATTCGATTTAAAGATTGTTTTTTTATTAGAAAAGATATGGATCTGATACAGGTATGGAAGAACGAAATGGATGAGATGAAGAAGACAATCGAGATACTTGAAACAAAACACAAGTATATACATAATAATAGATATATAATTACGAATTCATTTCATTACATTAATTAATTATTTACCTGGAAATATAACAATTTTGTTGGGATTAAGGCATTTGGCTGGAGAAGATCTTTCATCGTTAGGGATAAAAGAACTCAAACAACTTGAACGCCAACTGAGGATCGGAGTTGATCGCGTTCGATCTAAAAAGGCACGTTTAATTATTTCAAGCAAACGATTTATCCAAGGATTATTAATTATTATTATTATTATTATTATTATTATTATTATTACTGTTATCAAAATTTCCTTCAAATCCTAATAAAGATTTAATAAATGAATTTGGACAGTGGCGCCTTTTATCGGAGCACATAAGTTTATTGAAGAGAAATGTGAGTCTTAAGGTTTATAAATAAAAAATATATATAATTTTAGTGTTTTAGTTTAGTTTTACAAGTTTACCCATCGATCTCGTTGATATGTGTAATGACTAATATGTCTTTTTACACTTCGGTTGATTTAAAAAAAAAAGGAAGCTAGCTATTTATCTTTTTTATGTGTATGCAGCATAAAGCCTTGCAAGAAGAACATACGATTCTTCAGAAAAAAGTGAGCATTTTTTTTGAAAAGTATATGTTAATTGATAAATTTACTTAATATTTGAATTTGAATTTAAAAAATCTACTCCTTTCTGGTATATTTCGAGATCAAGCTTCATGAGCTGCTGAACGAAGCTGATGAATACTCAGGCTTGGATTCATCTGATCATGCAATTCAAAGGTAAACTGATTCTTTAATACATAACTAAAATATAATATTGATTATTAGTTTTCTAAAACATATTTAAATTGTACTTCAGAAATCTACTTTGAATGTTTTTTTAACAAGTGGTATTTTTCAATAATTTTTATTATTATTTTTTTTAACAAATCAAATTCAATCAAATTTTGACAATACAAAATCTTATCCTAATAGCATTATTATGTTTATTTTGTTTAACAAATTAATTAATAATTACTTACAATCTACAATAACTTTGTTTTTTTTATATTTATTATTTTTTATTTATATAGAAATTTTAAATATATCGACCGTGATTTCTACGGGTTATAACCTAGTTAATATATATATACAATAAATTAGAAGATGTTTTGATTTAAAAAACCACACACAATTGTTTTTTTAATTTAGTATGATTAATGAAAATGATTTTGTCAAATTTCCTCTTCTATTACATTTGATACATGTCATTTTCTAGGATTTATTGATTTTTTTTCCACTTGTCATTTTCTTAAATATATTCACTTTTTAGTAATCCTTCCTATTAAATCAAAAAGTTTTTGTTACATGTCGTCTTCTCCTTCATTTGGATACATATTATTTTTTAGATTTTTTTAATTTTTTATTTTCCACTTGTAAATTTATTGTATTTTTCATTTTATTAAATTAAAATTCATATTTAATATGTAAGGTAATATATATGTAACATATTAACTAGAAATAGTTTATATATGTAATGTATTTAATGTATTAAAGCTTTATTAAATTTAATAATTTAATTTTTTTCTCATTTTTTTATAAATTCAAACTTCTCAAATTGTTAAAATTTCATATATTTTTTTTCAATAAATTTATGCAATACATAGATCTCACACCTAGTAGTTTATATATGGTAAATACATTAATTATATTAATCTTGAGAATAAATGTTGTATCCATTTCTTTCCTTAGCAAATATTTATATATGGTAACTACTTAATACACATTTTAAGGGATTAGCATTAAAAAATTTTAAGTCATATATTTAGAAAATTGTCTTTTATTTCAATATAAATTCATATTTACCTATATATACATAAATTTCTTATAATTTCCTAAATATACTTAAGAAACTATTAAGTATTTTATCTATCTATAATATTTTTTTTACGTTATATGACAAGTAAGTAGTATATATATATTTTATATTTGATACATGCAATACATATAGAAACAATGAATAAAATATGAATTTATATTTTACTAAACTCAAGTCATGTAAAATGTATAGGGATTAACAATATTTTTTATAGCTACATATTTAAATTTATAATGTGGCCATTTTAATAATGGAACTTTTAAAATTTGATAACATTTTTGTATCATAATTTTATTTTAGGATTTGTTATTGTTTTAAAGATAAAAACATAATATGGATTCAAACGATCGTAAAAACAAACCCAAACATATAAAATTATATTTTGATAAAAGAAATTCAATATTGTTATGTCCATCATGTTAATATGTTAATAGTTTTTTTTTATTAATATATATTCAACTACCTAATTATTATGATTTCGTTTGTATTTATTTTGAAAGTTTACTATAAAAAATGTTTAATGTTTACATATAAATTTTCAAAATCATTTTTTATGTTAATATTTTTATTAATATATATTGAATTACTTACTTTATTCATGATTATATCATTTTTATTTATGTAAATGTATTACTTTAAAAATACATTATCTTTACAAAGTTATATTAAAATTTTATTTTTAATAAATCTGTGTAATATACGGGTTTTACACATAATTTATATAATATTAGTTAAAAACTTTTTAAAAATATTGATTTTATATATTCGACGTAAATAATAAGCAAATCAATTTTTTATTGAATAAACTTTGGTTTATAGATAATTCTACATAAAGGAGGAATGTTATCAAGTTTTGACACATCAAATTTAAAAACATTTTGTAATGCTCAACAACGGTTTTACATATTCGATACAAATAAGAAGCCAATCTTTAGTTAAAACTTTTTACATATTCGATACAACGATATTAATTAAAAACTTTTTAAACATATTGATTTTACATATTTGATACAAATAAGAAGCCAATCTTATTTTTTTATTGAATAAGCTTTGGTTTATAGATAATTCTATATAAAGGACGAATGTTGTCAGGTTTTGACACAACAAATCTAATAAGTAATAACATTTTTTGATGCTTAACAACGATAGTTTTATATCCTTGATTTTAAATTAAGGAAAAAATGTATATACCTTATAGTACTATTAGAAAGAATATATAAATAATTAAATATATACAATAACATTTTTGTAAGTTTGCAGGTTTATTCCAGATGGGCAACCTCATTCACCACTCAACATGAACCAGCTCGGTTTTTCCAACAATTGATTATATTTTCGTCATTTCTCCAATGGTTAAGTTTATTATCATCTTGTCGTTGTCACTAATGTAGTAAAATATATATATTAAAAAGAATTGAATTAGTTTGGTTACTATAAGGTATATATCGCGCGAGTAATAGTTCCTAGGTTTGTTTTTATGTAAAATGTTGATATGCATAGTTTTTATGTAAAATGTTGATATGCATACAGAAGGTAATGCGTGTGTACAAGTAATCTTTATAAGTATTTGTCACTCATGAAATTTATGTTTTTTTTCAAGAGGTTTGAAATTAAAGTTACATAGTTATGTTGTATAAATGTTATAAGCTGGTGTTATCAATTTCAAACTGATTATCTGGTTTGTTATGATTAAAAGGACAATTATTAGTTTTTGATGTTTATTGAAATGATTGACATTATCTAGGAGTCCAATAATCATTGCAAATAGGAAAAAAAAATGTGATAGAAAGACATAAAATGTGACATTTTGTTGCAAACCCAACGATATTAGATATTCGAAATGGTCAGTTGAAAATAGCTAGACAGAGTGGTCATTAATTTCCTATTATTTTTTGATTCCTATAATGAAAAAAATATTACTATAATGAAAAAAATATTTGAATACAATTGTGGAATGCCCGTTAGGGTTAACATTGCAATGAAATTAACAAGTTAGGGTTAACATTGCATTTGAAATTAACAATATAGGTACAATATCTAAATAGAAGACCCCATATACAATATGTAAAGATGTAAAGTCATACATTCTATTATTTAACACACCCCTCTAGTTGGAGCAGGGCTATCAAATGCTTAAAATATTCTAAAAGTCCAAAAATAACTATGTAGGACATCCATTTGTAAATATATCTACAAATTAAGATCAAACAACATGTGCAACATATGCACGTGACACAATAACAACACATTCACTACAAAATGTTTATTTCTTCATGTTTGATTCATTGGTGTTGAACTAATTTAAAAGTTAAGTACATAACACTCATGTTGTCATAAAAAAATAGTAGCACGAGAGTGTGAGGGCAACATAACTCAAGGAGGAGATTATAAAGCCAAATAGCTTTAGCAAAAAACATTACCCACCAGTAGTATGCAACCTTGGTACTAGACCGATTGATAAAATATTGGCATTTGATGTAACACTCGTGTTTCTAGACTAAGCATTAGTATAACGATGTAATAGTCAGGGTCAACTATTGTAACTCATTTTGAATAAATAAAGAGGAATTATGTGAATATTATGCGAATTATGTGTTTATATACTTGTTTATAACGATATAATAAATTAAGAATGAAAATAAACGTAAAAAATAAAATAAAAGATAAACTCGATATCTATGAAGAAAGTTTTAGTGTTCGTGACAAGGATTCCGGAGATATAAAGAACGTCGAAATCCGAGTTATAACGAATAAGTTATGATATGTCGAAGTTTTACGGCTAAACGGGCACGACACCGCATAACGTAAAAAGTGAATTTTTAATAAAATACTTTTTAGCCTTAGCGATCTAAACAAAAGTCGTAGTATACGTTAAACCGAGAGCGTGCATAAAAAGAACATCCAAATCTGATTTCGTATGAGGAAGTTACGATTTTTCTAAGATTTAGCATAACAGTGCACTACCCGAAATTTGAATTTTAGATCGCTCGATTTTTAGCCAAAATAATATAAAAGAGAAATGAAGATATCGTTAATAGGAGTTCAACGATAAAAATACAGTCGAAAACAGAGCTTGTATGCAAAAGATATTGACGAAAGTTAGTCCCTACTCTTCGAACGCGACGAATTCGATACAGTTTTGTAAATCTAATATAGAATGAGAGTTAACCGAAGGGGTCTAAATGAAAGTTGTAGTACTCGTGAATACCAACGCGTGGATATAAAGAATGTCAATATTAGAGCTCATATGTTAAAGATATGGATGAAACTTAGTCCATACTCTTCGAGCACGATAATTTCGATATAATTTTGTAAATCGGAGATAAAATGAGAATTAGTTGACGGGGTTTAAATGAAAGTTGTAGTACTTGTAATACCAATGCATGGATATAAAGAACAAAGAAAATGGATCTCGTACACGGAAGATACGGACGAAACTGAGGGCCTACTCTATGATCAAACCCCTATAAATAAATAATGAATTATTCATATTTTCTGCACACCATAACCTTTCTTTCTCTCTCTAACTTATCTCTAGAGTCCCAAAACCCCTCTAAGTCCCTAGTAACCTGAAGGTGCTAGAGGAAATCCTCGGAGCGCCCGAAGTGTGACATTCCCCTATTTCTCGGCAAAAAATACTGATTTAGTTCATGCTTTTAAAATAAAATCAGAGTAACCTCTCTGATAAAAATATGAGGAATTTGTCCCAAAACAAAATATGATAAAAAAAATTCATCAAAGCATTTCTTAAAGAAATGTATTCTTCATTTTATTACAAAACTCAGGATGTCCACATCGATACAGACAAAAAGCATAAACAATATATTATAGACCTTACAACAGATATTTACATCTAATGGCCTATAATAAAAAAAATCTCTCTTCATCATCCAACTATGCTCTGGGTCCACTGCATGTAATATAAAAAGCTGAGTGGGTTGCGGCAGCGATAGCCTTAGTAACGGAAGCATAAAGCTCTTCAAAAGTCTCGATCGACATGATCTTAATAGACCCGAACATCTCTGGGATGGCCTCCCTGATAGCTACAGCTACCTCCCTGATAGCTACATCTCCGTATCATTGGCACTCGGCCTCTAGGGGTCGCTGAAGCCTAAACCGTGGATAACCACCATACTCTGTCTAAAACATAAACATGGAAATCATTAGAGACAGGCTAAAGCACACACAGTCCACACTTATACACTCTTGCAAGCTCCTTAGCATCCTAAGATTCCTTCTTGAGTCCTGTACGAATCCAATGCTTTCAGTAGTACGGGCCCAATACTACCTTCCACACCAGTTCGTATTTGTTCCAAGTTATCCTCTTAAGACCCTAAGTCACAAGTACTCTATCCTACATGGATATCTAGCTATTCACTCTGCATAATTCTCAAACTAACATCTAGGCACTCCTCCTAGACTGCTAAAGTAAGGAAACAACTCCCTAGGCTAAGGCATCACAAATCAGGTAACTCTAGCTCTACATCCTGAAGATACCTAGCCTATCATCTAGCATGCAGTTCTAATGTTTCAAATAACAACTCATCTCATAATAAAAATCAAGTAATGGTATTTTGGGAAATCATCGCTCGGGCTCTGGCTAACTGTACACACTACTCCGACCTACTCTTCTCTTAAAGTTCTTTACTCTTTTTAAAATTCTTTTTAAAAAATCATTTCTTTTTAAAACAATTTATCAACTCCTTATTTTGAGTCAAAACATACCCGAGGGCGTGCTGGAATCCCTCAAACCAAGGCTCTGATACCCACTTGTAACAACTCAAATTTTCAAACAAATTTTTTATTTTCAAATTTCTCAAAACATAGTTCATAGCATCAACACGTGCCAAAATAAAATTGTCGAATACATAATATCATAAGACAAAGTCAGGGAATCCGAGAATCCATAAAAAATCCTAGTCGTCAGGCTGGTGTGTATAATCATGTTGGCGCCTTCCCGCAATCCTGAGATGTACCTCCGGTCTCACATCTCGGCATGGACCCTCCGGTTATAGCTCAACATATACACAAAATAATATAACATCATAAGGCACAAAGACATAATGCATAATAACATATATCTCAGTATAAGAAGATAAGACCCTCTGTTCAGTAACACGAATATGACCCTCCGGTCTCACATAAATTACCATACAAGTAAGGAGCTATTCAACATCTTCAAGAGGGTCACTGATAGGTTGACCGAGAAGCTCCAGGATCAGTTAGCAATTGTTCAGACGATTGATGGGGATGACGGGGTAGCACAGGAGAAAGGGATTACCTGGGAGTTAAAAAGGAAGAGGAAACCGTATGAGGTTCAATGGCCTACAGTTTCAGGTAGAAGAACCAAAGGACCGAGTTCGATCGAGAGACTTCCAGGGCTGCAGCCGATGTGGGAAGTGTAGCAGGACGCACAGGGGTGCATATAGGAGTAGTAGAGGTAGCAATCCAGGCTGTTTCAAGTGCGGAAAGATTGGTCATTTTAGCAGAAATTGTACTACTACCATCGCTCAGGGGCTTGACCCAATATGTTTCCGTTGCAGTCAGAGAGGCCACAAGAAGGCCCACTGTATGAGTTTGTATACAGCAGGGCAGGTGCCAACTCCTGCCCTGGGACTTCGAGAACCGCCAGTAGACATCAGGGATGGGCAAGGGCGCCCACGAATCGCAGCAGAGTATTCCGGTTGATTTCAACAAGGATTCGAGCAACACTAGATGTTGGGGGTACGTATCTTTTACTTTCCTGCCAATTATGATTTATGATGTTTTTGTTATGTTATTGCACCGATTTAGTAAGTACTTATATTGGAATATTATATTACCTATTTGGGATTAAGTCATATGCCATCTGCATACCTTGGAATCTAGAATGATAGTTGAGGACATTCCCTGTAAAGCAGGTCACTTTTGGTGCATTAATTGTAGCAAGTGTGAGTGGGACTCGGTGGTGTCCTGCTATTTTCGAGAAGGTGTTAGTTGTGCACATATCAATTATATTTCCAGCAATGGTAAGCTTGAGTTCCCAATGGAGTAACCAGAGAACGATAGGATAGTAGTTCGAAGATGTCCCCCCTTAAGCGCAGGTTATCAGGATGCAGTCACTGAAGCAAGAGCAATCAAGGGATTTAAAGATGCTCGATCATTCGACAAGATTGGTTTAGGTCTGATGAAGGGTTAGTTGAAGCGCCAGCAGAGATAAACGTGGGTTGTTAGCGGATCGGCCCCTTTAGATGATAAGAAGGATGGGGAATCCTTTTCAAGTTGTGAGTTGTAAGAATTAGCCGGACAAAAGTGGGGTAGAACCCTTCATGGATTCATGGTCAGTAATATGCTAAACTTAGAAAGGGTTGGTAATCTTGTGTAGGAAGGGAAAGCAGCCCGAAGGGTCTAGTGGGTTCAAGAGTTCAGCTGTTGGGAGTTTGGAAAACTTTCCAATGTCGGTTTCATGTATTAGGGATTAGTAGACGATTGGTTTGGGAAACCAAGTTGAAGAATTTCTCAACGGAAAGTAAGTGTAGCAAGGATGTAAGACTACCAGATAGTTGTAGCATTGGATGACTGAGGGCTGGTTTTGGAAATCAGGTTGGGGGATCGCTAGCA